CTTTCTGGCAAGTGTGCACGCCCTATAGCAAGAAACCTCTCAAAAGAAAAAAAAAAGGTAACTTGAAGATTTGTGTCTGAGAGAGAAGGGAGAACGTCATTTCTTCAACAGAAAATGAGAAAAAAAAATGCTAGAGATTTACATATTTTACTCTATGTCATTCTAGACAGCAACACCATGGCTTTGCTAGGTAGAGAAATTCTTCTTCCCTTCTATTTCCCTGAAGTATGTTTCTCCAGGAAGTATGGAGAACTTGTCCCGAAGCATTGCTGTTGATGGGGGCTGCTTTGCAAACTCCCTTTAGCACAAGTTTCTAACAGCCTTCCTCTATTTCTCTTCTTTAGTTCTAGGGCTAAGTCCTCTTGATTTCTGAACAACTCAACAAACATTTATCCAGAACCAATCTAGTGACATATATAGGCCAGATGCTGGGGTTACAGAGACAAGAGAGACACCAGGTCCCTCTCCTGGATCTCACACTGTAGAGGGGGTAGAGACACACTATAAAGTAGGTAAAATGCCATGTGAGCAGGGTGCATGAGCTGTTCATTATGCCTGGTGGCCAGGGGAACCTCATAAAAAAGGTTCATGAGCTTTGAATTTAGTAATCTGTGAGAACACGGTGATAGTTTAGGGAAGAAAAAAAATGCCAGTTACCTGTGATCATTTTCTCAAATCTTCACCTCATACCTGACAGATTCCTCCACTACTTTACACCTGCTATGGCTGTCCTGGCTAGACGGGCTAAAGGCTTCTTCAGACAGAGTCATTGTAAGAAAACTCTAATAACTAAATTGTAGATGTCTGTAAAAAATGTCACTTATATATTGAAATCCACTGTTCACCCCCTCAACAATCTACCCAAGAATAAAATAATTAGCCACTAAACTATGCAGAGAAACAGAGTGTGATATTTTTATGGCAATATTTTAATATCGATGTGTTAGATGCTGATAGTGCATTAAACCAAATGGGAACATTAGCAGACTAGGTTCTTGAAATCTGGCTAGCTGTTTAGCAAATAAAAGTCAAGTGCCTGGCTGCCAGACCCACTGCATGTGCTGAGCTTGTCATCCATCTGTTGTATTCTCTGCCAACTGCTCTACTTCGGGGCGAGTGGAAGGCATTAGAAGGGAATAAGAAACCATTAAGAAATGAAATCAGCTGCAGAGTGAGCAAGTTTCTTTTTCTTTTTCCTGTCCTTCTATTACCTCTGTCCTTCTTGTGTTTCTGCTTATTTTAGTGCTAGATTATGTCAGAATAGGCCTACAGATAAGATGACTAAATGACGCTCCTTGTAAAAGCAGTAATTTCTCATTGAATGTTAAGTTTCATTCCTATAACTTTAATAATAGAAGTCAAGAAGTAGGTAGACAAAACTGTTTTCTTTGTGAATATTGTTTAGGATAAAAAAAATTCAGTCCTATTCTTAATTGGACTATAGCATAATAGAAGTTTTTTAAATACATAGACATAAATGTAATTCTTTGGTTAAGAGGTATTGTCTCTAACATAGAGTTTACACTTATTTAATAAACCTTGATGAAATCCTCAGAGGGATAATTTATTTTTAGAATAACGCTGGGTGGTCCTACCTATTTCTCCTCATTTAATGATTTTGATTTCAACAAGAAATTGTCATACGCAAATGGGTGTTGGGAGAACTCTAAAATTAAGTTTAATTATGAAATTCCATGGAAATATTAGGTGACACTAGCAATGCATAGAAATAGACAAAAGACATAGAAATTATACAGCTTTTTCCCTAAATGCTTGTAAGTTTTGAGTCTTTGAGGCATTAATGCTGCATCTGGACCAGGGCTGTCACAGAATTCGTTATAATTCACAGCAGCTACTGGCCTTGTCTGTGTGTCCATAAACTGTAACATCTGCCTTTATTTCCCGAAGCTATTGCCTTCTCGTAAAATGTCTTATAGAAAATCGAGATTCAAAGATCATAGTCATTTCATTTTCCAACAAAAGGCAATACAAAGACTATTAGAGAACAATGGATTTTGTCTCCTTCCATCCCAACCCACAGCAATGACAGAAAGCTTCAGAGTTTACAGTGAACAGACCATCAGACAAAGCACCTCCCACTGAGGGTAGTTAGCCTGGCTATTTTTAAGATATACGACTTGGCAAACTCTCTCATCACGTTATCAAGTTATACTTCTTAAGTGCCTTAATGCGTGCCGCTTTTTCCCCCATCCTCTAGAGACTAGATTTATTTACTTTTATAAAATCATGGTACTAAGTTAAACACTTTTGCTTTAGATAAAATGAATATACAACCAAAAGCATACCTGGTGGAGAATGTGAAGAGAGAATTTTCTAAATTAGGTGATGAGTTAAAGTTAATCTGGCCACGGGGCTGCCTACAGGTGGGTATGCAGAGCAACTTAAGAATCTCTAGAGAGGCAGGCTTGGGAAGTTTGAAACCATATTTAAAATGTGATTTTTCACTTTAGAAACCAAAACAAATAAAGTCAGATTTTTCCATAATACTTATTTAAGTGGGTAAAACTATATAAAATCTTCTCATTTGATGACAAAATATATGCAAGGTGATTCTTAGTAGGCGGACATCATCTTCTGCTGGTGAAGAAGGCAGATTCTCTAAGATTAGGTAGAGTTTAAAAGGACAGAGATTTAAAGAGAAGGGACACAGCTCTTCCTGGAGCAGAAGGTAGGAAGCAAACTGCACAATTCCTCCATTAGACTGGCAGGCAAACACTGTCACGATCCAATTCCTAGCTGCCTGTATCAAGAACACCCTGACAAGTGGGGAGCTATACAGATGAGGAAACACGGCCATTCAAGGAGCTACAGAATAGAAGGATGGAGTGTAAATTCTGACCTTCCATTTGCAGTCTGTGACACTTACGGAAAGTTTTCCTACTCTCTAGATCTTGGTTTCGTGGGGAGCTATACAGATGAGGTAACACGGCCAGTCAAGGAGCTACAGAAAAGAAGGATGGAGTGCAAATTCTGACCTTCCATTTGCAGTCTGTGACACTTACAGAAAGTTTTCCTACTCTCTAGATCTTGGTTTCTTAATCTGTGAAATAGTGACAATAAA